AATAAAAATATAAAAAATGCGTGTTTTTGATAATAATTTAATATTTATTTAAGTATTTATTTGTTAATTACTAAAACAACTAAAAAAATTTACAGTTTTCGAGGGGATGCTTATTTTCAGAACTGTAATAATTTGAGGGGTGCTTACTTCTAGGGGGTGCTTAATTTCAGAATGGTACGGTAGTATCAGAATATTATTCAATTGCAAATGCTGATCTTTTTAAAAAATACTTCAGTATTAATTACAAATTTTTATAATTTTATTTATTTTACTTAATAATTTAATGTTTGATTATATAAAAATTATATTTATTAAATGATTATAAGAAAAAAAAAATTTTAATTATTTCATATATTAATATAATTCATTTTTTATTCATTATAATAATCATCAATATTCTTATTAATATTTTTTCTTTGATCTTCATTATCTATTTCTATCCTATTATTTAATTGATCTGATTATTTAAGATAATTATAATCAAAAATTAATTCATCTTCTGTTCTATCACATTTATTAAAAATGTCACAATATTTAAAAGATCATTGAATTAAATTAACATCAATAGCATTCTATAAATTATTAATCCAATTTACTACAATTTTATAAGAAGGTCTTTTAATATTACTAGCAGGTATTAGTTCTTTTATAGAATCAGCTATCTAATTATTATAATTATATCACATTTATAAAATAAGATAGAAAAATAAAAATAATTATTAAATTAATTTTTTAAAAATTAAATATATTAAGTTTCTTACCTTTGTTTTAAATGATTTATTTACTGAAATATCTAAAGGCTGTAAATAAGATGTTAATTCTCCAGAAATAACAGCAAGATTAGTATTTTTTTTACCAAAATGTCTTTTTACAGAATTAACAAGATATACAGAAAATGATTCCAAAACTAACAATAATTGTGGATTTGAAAATCTTGCATATTTAATTTAAATATTTTTAATCTAATAAAGCATTTTATTTTCATTCATCTATTTAGTTAGATTGGCTTGAATAATAACTTCTTATAGAAAATTACCTCGCAAAACTTTTTTAAGTTTGAAAATTACAAAAGGAGAAAGTTTAGTTTTATCAGCTATACTATTATAAAATTAGTTTTTTCATGTCCTGTTATATGAATGCTAACAGATTGTATTCCTGTTTTATTAACAGTAGTATTGTCTAGTAGATTGAATGTCATTAGAGTTTCATTCATATTATTAATTAATATTAAAGAATAATCATGTTAGATACATCTATACATAATAAATGCTAAAAATTCCTATTGCTATTTAATTAAATCTTTTGGTAAATATTATGTGATAGTAGTATGACAATGATTACTCAAATTGTTATGACTCATTAAACCATTCACTCACTTGTTATTAAAAGCAAAAGATTGAATATTAGGACATGTGATTTGCCACTGACTTTATTACGTAAATGCTTTGCTTTTCATCTATATCATACTTTGTAAAACTATTTGTTGATTATTTCTTCTCTCTTTTATTCATTCAACTAAAGCAGTTTCTAAAACAAGGTATTTTGGAGGTGAACCTTTATTTAAATATTTTAAACCTAATTGAGCTTTTAAAAGTTGTGATTTTTTAGATATCCAGTCTCAAAGTTACTTTATTTTAATATTAAATTTAGCTGTGATCTTATTTTTACTATAACTATTTTTATAATATAAAATAATTATTATTTATCTCATGCATTCCATTGTCTTTGTATCTTTTCTGTTATAGTTGAATAATTTGTTCTTTTATTTGCATTCGAACACATTAAAAAAAAAGGTTAAAATGATAAATTTAAGTTGTATAAATTGTAAAAGGTTAAAAAATAAGACATGAAAAATAATGAATAAAAAAGTCGTGTATCCTATTTAATAAAATATTTTAATGATAATTATTTGATCATTTGAATTGTAAATTATTAAATATAAAAAATGAATTTTTAAAATGTATTTTTGAATAGTTTTAGCAGTATTTTAGCATTAGTTTTATTAACTTTAATAATCATATTATTTAATATTAAAAAAATATTAAAAAATTCTTTTAAAAGCTTAAAATAAAATATTGAAATCATTTTTAAAAAGAATTATTTATTTCAAATTTTTAAAACTTAAAATGCTAAGAAAGAAAAAAAAAATTTTTTTATTGTTGATTTTTTTATTTTTTTTTAACTTACGGTAGATTATCTAGTTATATTAATTAGTATTTTCCTTTCAGTATACCCTTTTAATATAGTACCTTATCTCTTATATAATACCCCTGAGAATACTATTTGAGCTAACACAATTTTTTTGATTAAGACTAGAAATACTATATATAGTGCTATACAGTATAATATTATTTTTAATTTGTCATGATAAATTTAATCTAAAAACATTTGGATTATGTGATATAAAAATATTTATTGATAAATATAATCTAATAATTTTAATTTGAAGAGATATTTTTATTTAATCAAAAAAGTTTTAATTTAGAAATGACGTGAACTTTGCATTAATACATATTTTGATAATTTTTTATATTATTTTAAAAGAATAAATTTGTATAAGTTTTTATATAACTACTAATTTCTCTACATTCATGTTAATAGCTATTTTTTTTCTTAAAACAATATATATCTAAGTCTAACATAATTTATCTTTCTTTTCTTTTATTTCTATTTTGTTTAACATATTCTTTACCTTCAAATATTAATTTTATAATATCATCTATCTTATTTGTTGATTTTATATCTTCTTTTTTAGTATTCCATTTAATAAAATCAACAGCATCTTATACTCAATTTATAGTAATAAGATTTATTTTAATTATTTCAGAAGTTCTTCTTCAACTTTGATATTTTAAACAAATATTTTTTAGCAATAAATGATTTGAAATGTACTATTTTGCAATATGTCTAAAAGGAACATTTATAGTATTATTATTATTAGATTAAATATTCATAATTTCCTTTTATATTATATATTTAATATATATATATTTTTATTTACTATAACAAAAATTTTAAAATTTTAAAATAATTAAAATAATAAAAAATCAATAAAATTTTATTTTTAAAGTAAATGAAGTTTATTTAAAATTATGATAAAGTTATATTTAATAAAGTAATAAAGTTTGTAAAATTTAAAGTGTAAATATCATATATCAAGAAAGATGCATAAATTTAGTTAAAAAGAAGCATAAAATAGAGTAAATAAACTTGCATATCAAGAAAGTATTACCTGATAGATCAAGAATAATACATTTGCGATACAGAATAACAAATTATATAAGATCATGTGAGGTATTAGATAGAAACTAAATATCATCAAAAAAGAATGGTATAGTGTGAAACCTCTATAATAGAAACTTAAAAAAACATTAATAAAATTTAATCTACTGATTGGATTTTATTAAATAAAAAAAATTGATTTATATTTGTAAAAATGAATCAATTTATAAAAAAAGTTTTTTTTTTCAATTTTATAAATTATATAAACAATGTGTAATATATATATGAGCCAATCATAAATTAGAATTAAAGTTGTATGAAACAATTTATTTTATTTTATTTTATTATTTCATTATAAATTGCATTAAATACATATGAAACTTATATTTTTTAGTTGTAAACTTTACCATTTTTCTAGTAATACCTTTTCTATACATATTCATAAATCATCATGATTTTAATGCATATTTTTAAATTGTTATTAAAAAACTGAATTTATTGCTTAGGAATAATTTATTATAATTTTACCTATATATAATTACAATATTCTTATGTATTTCTTTTGCTATATTTTAATATATCTTTATATAATTCAATTTATAATAATATTTTAAGTAAAATATATAAACTATAAAAGAATAATTCTTATAATTCGTCATCACATATTTTTTTCAATTTTAGTTTTTATAAGATTCTTAAAGTACAGTTATAGTTTATTTATTTTATGGATTAAATTTTCAATTTTATATATAATAAAAAATTTTTTTTTTGCATTTTAAATTTGTTCTATTTTTACTATATCAAAGTTCCTATTATTATAGAGGTTCTGCACTGTAGCCGGATTTTTTTCCGGGTCACACACTTATTATGTGTGACATATAATTGTGCGGCCGCTAAATTATCACCCAAGTACAAAAGCATTCTCATTGGTCAAAAAAAGATTTTTTTTTTTTTTTTATGTAAAATGGCCATTATTATTTTTTTGATCTCAATCCTCTTTCATCATTTCGTCTTTAAGGCTTATCATAAAAACAACGAAGAAATTTTAATATAATCTTTGCATCTTGATTTTAATAAATATATTATGGTAATTAAGAATCAATTTGATTCAGAATGTTAACATTATAATTTAAAATCTAATTTATATTTCGATTTAATAGGACGCAAAACAACAAGTTAAACTTGCAAAGGTCGTTAAGGTCCTTGGCCGTACTGGCTCTCGAGGTGGTGTAACTCAAGTTAGAGTTGAATTCATGGATGATTCAAGTCGTTCAATTATCCGTAACGTTAAAGGACCAGTCCGTGAAGAGGATATCTTGTGTCTATTGGAATCTGAACGTGAAGCAAGGCGACTGCGTTAAACTTAAACAATTGCTATACGCAAACATATTCCATTAAAGGAATCATGTGTGGATTTAAAAAATTGATCAAATTATTATAAAATTATTATAAATAAATCATAAAAAATTGCCTTATGATATTGGAATTTATATGTAAGGCTAAGATTGTTCTTTAAAATTATAAAAATTTAATTTTATACATAAAAAAAATTATATATATAGATTATATATATATTTTTTTTAATGCATTTTGCTTCTGTTTGATACAATTGTCTAATAAGATGGCAGAAAATTAAAAAGAATTTCAATTTAATATATATAAACGAGTGCATAATAAAAATAAAAAAAAAAATTATCTACTTTTGTCGTAACTTAATGCTCTCTTTTATAGGCCTTAAAAAAAACAATAAAAAGAAAAACAAATTATAGTAAATAAATCTATAGTATATCTCGCTTCGATATATTTCCAAATCCTCGTTGTTGTTGATATAATCTATATCCTAAGAAAGCTGCCCCTCCTAAAGCTCCCATAATTGCCGTAAACGTCAAATATTTTTTGACCCTAGAAGATTCATGTGCTGAACCTGCAAGCCCTGGTGTAGCAAGAACCGGATTAATTGCTACTCCCACTAAATGATTCCACAAATCTGCTGTTTGTTGTTTCTTTACGGAAACACTAACAGGACCAGATAAGCCGAGGGCACGACAATACACATCAGGTTGATCTTCATTACGCTAAAGGATTAATGAAATAAATTAATGAATAAATTTATCAAAAAGGAGTATACAATGTGAAAAGGTGTTAGTAATAGTGAACCTGTTGAACTAAATCAGAATCACTCTTTGTAGCAACAAATACTGTAGGATAATTATCTAAATTATGTCGTTTCTATATATGAAAATGATATGTTAAACTCTATATGGAAAAAGAAATCTAAACATTGTATAAAAATTTTTAATAAATCTAACCCGAAGTTCTACAACATATGAGAATGAATTCACGTCACTAGAATCAAACACAAAACAAAGCAAATCACAAGCTTCCATCTTGCGTTTATTCTGAAGTATTTCTGCTTCGTATTTTGAACCAAATTCTTGCAACTAATAGAATGCATTAGTAAGTAATAGCAAAACCATGTCAACTTAATATCATTCAGTGTACTTGTTATAAGACATACCACTAAATATTTTTCAGCACCTTTAATTTCAACGGAATTCACTGCACAAAATGACCTCATAGTGGGTGTGTAGCCATTTGCAAATGGCTTGTTAACAAAAGCTTTCAATAGGGAAGTCTAAAAACAATGACAGTAATTTAATTAGATACAATATTTTTTTTTATTCGTTGTATAATTCTAAATATTACTGCCCAACAAAACACCTTACCTTACCAGAACCGGCTGCACCAAATACATACGCTAAAAATACATTACGTTGCACTTTGTTTCTTTTCCTATCAGCTTTCCTTGGCTTTGTCACCTTTAAGGCCATTCTTGTATCGCCTTCAAATCCAAGATAGGCCAAGTACGACAACGTTGTCTTATAATCGAGAAGTGTCGTCATACTTTTAATTGTAAATAATTCGAATTGGGTTAGACATAACATAATTTATCAACATTACATTACTTGGCACAAACATTCAAGCACTTACTCCTACCTCCATTGTGCTAACCATCCTTGTAAAGTAACAGCTCCTGCATCATTAGTAATTGTAGTATGAGGAAAATCGGAATTTACCCATGGATCTCCCGGTGAAGTACTGAATAACTGAACCAATTCACTATCCTTTAATGCACCATCTTTGTCCTTATGATCAAATGTTCAATAATTTAGGCAAAATAATAATGAGTAAAAATTACAATAAAATATTAACATCTAAAGATGTATGATCAAAGGATTACTTTGTCAAAAACTTGAAATATTTCCGTAAAGAATTGATACCCTGAAGGACTTAATTCAACTGAACAATCACGTGGAACTTCAAAACTAGAAAAATAATCGTTATTTTATATTAACACAATGTAAAACAAAGAAATATATAAAAGCTAATTGAAATAGTTACAGAGGGTGAAGGAAATCTTCTCTTAACGACAAATCATCACCATATCCAAATTTCCTTAAAACAGTCCATGTAGTCTCAAGCCGTCCACGTTGTATAAAGAGAGTATGAAGAAATAAAAAACCTAGTTCCGTTAATCCTACATCATTAACACCGGCTGATTCATGTTCCTTCACGACCTCTTTAACTCCTTCAAGTTCTTGTTGCTGCAATGGCGCATTGAAACACTTTCGCTAATATTTCAGCAATGGTCCAACCAAATCTTAGTATTATCCTTTTTTGATAAATTGAAAAATCATCTTATAAACTTGAATAATAACCTGGAATTCATTCAATTCATCGTCATTTAATACTCCATCCTTATCACAATCACATAAATTAAAAATCCTTTTGAGAGCTTCAATGCAGGCTGGTTTTAATACCTATAATTAATTAATGTAAGTTTTTTTTTTTTAAAAAAAAAAAGGGAAAGTAATTTTATTACGTACATGTTCCCGAGAATCATACAAAGGTGCGGTTGGATGTAATACTGCCTTTTGCGCAAAATAAAAAACTTCAGAAACATTTAATGGTTGCTTTGCCGAACATTCCACACATGTTTCAACTTCCTAAAAATATTCATGATTATTATTTTAATTATCAAGGCTGTTTAATGTTTATAATCACAAAAATCGAATCTACCTTAAACTCATTCATGATCGGTATTATTTCGTCTTCTAATGATTGATTGGTAATTTGATCACCTCGAAGGTCGATTTTACTTCCTACTAATATAATTGGAACCTGCGTAACACCGTATATGGATGGGTAAATTTATCTAAATTAGTAAACAAAGTCGCCCTTTGTTGAGCAGAAATTCAAAGATATGTTAAATCATTCACTTTCAAATTTCTATTATATCTTAAAATTATCATTTCTAATTTCTCACATTTACGCCGAGACCTCTTATAAAAGGTAACCAAAATGAAGCTAGGCGATTAAACGTATGCGGATTATCTATCGCATAAACGATACATATTACGTTCGCCTTCTTAATTTCTGTTTTCAATTTTTCGCGATTTTCTGATCGAGCTTTTTTTATATAAAAAAAATAATCAAATTTAGAACTAAGGAAATTAAATCAAATTATAATTAAATAATTAATTACCAGACGAATCTACGATATGTGTTGTTACATTCTCGGGAGTAATTTCAGGTGGAATCGTAACTTCAGGCACGACGTGCGGAAGCTATTGAATTGTAGAAAAGGAAAAAAAATTGTACATATTAAATATATAAAGAAAAAGAATCTAATAAAACTTTTACATTGAGATACTTACGTCAGAAACATAAGTTTCCCTGGTAAGAGAAGTTATCAATGTGCTCTTCCCAACACCGTCTTGAATTTCACAAGATCAACAAAAGACAGAGCATAAATAAATTTGAACCCACTTTTTAAATAAATCGAATCAAACTTACCGTCTCCAACAAGCAAAATTCTTACTTCACGTCGCATCTTTAGACGGTTTTACGCGTCAAAGTAAAAAGGAAAGTATAAAGTTAAGAAATTTTCGTGTTCGATAAGTTTAATAAGATAATATGAACTTTTTTTAAAAAAAATAAATACGAACGAGTTTGACAAGTTCAATCAAGATCATTTAAACTTTATATTTTATTGCATTTTACTACATATCATATACTTTGTGTGGCTTGTGCTAGAGACACTATTTCTGCTTTCTGATTTGATCATTTGGTATGATCGTGTAACTAAAGATAGTGCGTAGTTATGTTGTGATTTATATAGATTACATTAGCCAATAAAAAATCGTAAATCTTTTTATAAAAAAAGATTATTCAATTTCATTCGATCTTTACCGAAAAATAAATCTCATATGATGTCAGATTTTCTTTTTTTTTTTTATTCTTAGATTTAGTAAAGATCTGTTAATATGAAGCTTTTTATGGAAAAAACTTTTTTTTGACCACCAGTAGTCAAAAAGTCGCTAATGGAAGTCGCGAACTTACAATATTTAAAGAAATCAAATCTAAGGTTTCAGGAAACGTTGGTTAAAAGCTAAGTAAACTGATTAAGTCTTATCTTGAATTAATTCGAGTCGCATCTAATGAATCTCCATAAAAATTAAATGTATCCTGAAATATATTGTGGATTTTCTTAAGTCACATTGATTAAACTTAATAAACTTAATTAAATAAGTTCGAATTTGATTAGTTAATAAGGTTCATATTAAGTGTATTATTATACTTAATTAAAACTTACTAAGTATACTTTTTTTATATGGATAAAGTGAATTTCACTAAAATAATCTTTCTAATAAAAGATCATTTTGATCTTAGTAATAAATATATTTTAATATTTTATTAAATAATTTATTTATATACAAGAAATTTTTATTTGATCAAAAATTTTATATAAAACATTATTACAGTCAAAACTATAACGAACCTCTTTATAACAAACACTGGATATAACGAACTCAAATTTTAATAATAGTTCGTTATATAAAAAGTGTAATGGTGCATATAGAAAACATAGTAATTTATATAACAAACTTTTTTTTTCTAACGGAGTCGTCAGTTCGTTATAAAGAGTGTTGACTGTATATTTAATCTAGTAGCATCAAAAAAATGTCAATATAAAGCTAAAAATTTCTAATATAATATCAAAATTTTAATAAATTAGTTTATAATTATGATTCACCTAAAATCTGGTTTTATTTTTATTTTTTTTAATAAAATTATTTACTACTTTACATTTTAAGAGTTCTGTCTATTAAAAATTAAAAAATTGTTTTAAATAAATTTAATTAATGGGATACTATCAACAGGAGTAACTGTACTTATTTTTAGAATAGATGTTACACAATTCATTCAAGAATAATTTATGTCTTTATAATACTTTTTTGAAGTGCTTGTGTAACCTATTCTAACTATAAATGCATTAGATAGTGGCTTCGTAAATGTTGAAGTTCTTGCATTGTAGAATAATTTTTTATTTTGAATTCATTTGAATTCAATATATGTTTGATAAGAAGAAGTACAATGAATATCAAATTATAGAATCAATCAGATTTTGACCATTGAAAGAAAATAAGTAAAGAGAAATTGAAAGTAAAGGATTAGCAAAGGTAATGTGAAAAGAAGGTATTGTTTTGTGTAGTTCTTATTATATACTTTTTGTAAAAAATCTATTAAAAAGAGATTTTAAGCAAAAGAAGAATATGAAAAAAATGTAATTATGCTTAGTTCGATGCTTAAACTTTCTGAGATTATCAAGAAAATAGCGAAATTTCTTTATAAAAGAAAGTATAGTCTCCAGCGAAAAGAATGGCAGAAACATATTTCGACAGTATATACAAACTTTATTTTAATATATATTTTTTTTTATTATTTATAAGAACAATACTAACGATAACTTTTATATTATTAATTAATATTTGGTATATTCTCCTTCTGCATTGATACATGCTTTAATCCAGCTTGGCATGCTCTCAATGCACTGAAGTAACATAAAGTTATAAAGATCGTCTCATTCCTGCTGGATTGTATTAAGGAATACATCGCAAGTAATGTTTTTTTTTGCTACTAAATACTTGATCTTTTTCTCCACCTTTTCTTTTAATACAGCCTATACATTTTCAATTGGGTTCAAGTCTGGACTGTATGAAGGCCAAAAAAGAACTCATTCTAGAAAATGTTTTTTCAAGTCTTCTTGAATATCGTGTGAGGTGTATTTTGGATCATTATCTTGTTAGAAGACCTAGCTGCGTCTGTATAATATATCTGTGTTATTATACAGATGATCGTCTAAGATTTTTGATACAAATGATAATCTAAATTTTCAGTAAACAAATAAATGCTAATTTTTCCTTTAGTACTAATTGCTGTTCAAACATGAACCTTGAATAGGTATTTTACTATAGAGGCAATTGATTCTGCATTATGAGACTATACACATATGGTATTTTTAAATATTTGAGTATTGTTTCATCAGAAAAAACAATTTTTTTTCAGTTGTATCACGAATGATTACATGTCTAAGATAAATAAAATTCCTTCGCTTTTTGGGTCAAGAGAAAACCCTTTCTTAGAAGAATAGAAACATATTCAAGATTGTTAAACTCACAACGTATTATACGTTCATTGACATTAAGGTTGTAATCTTTTTCTTTTAATTTTGCCTTAATTTTGCCTGCTATAGTAAAATGATTATATTGCAGAATTTTTTCAATATGATGGCATTGATTTGAAGCCAATTTTCTTAGATGACCAGAAAAGTAACCAATAGAAATTTTGCCAGTCTTATTTAATAAGCTGATATATAGTTCACATATGCATAAAGAAATGCACAATCGATTAGAAATTTCCTTTGCATTATGCACTTTTTGGTCCCAAAGTGACTTAACAGAATTTCTTTGTATTTTTAAAGAG